CTCCCGAAAAAGTAACAGACATTCACTTTTGGGATTCGGTGGGACAAAAATTAACAATTCTCGGTAAGACAGGGAGTGGTACAATTTCTAAAATTACATTTTGGAGTCTACAGATTCAGACTATTCTAAATTCTAAACAAAGGGTGGAGAAAGAGTCATTTTAGAACAGATTTTCCCCAGTTCTTTCCTCTCCTAGCCTTCTTCCCTCCCCTGTTAGCCCTAGAGCTGGGACCCTGCTGGGAGCAAACCACAGTTTTGCGTGGGGTTCCTACCATCTCCCTGGCTCTCCACAGAACCCCAGTTTCCCCCACCTGGAGAGTCGTGGCCAGACTCCTCAGGACCTTTCCAGTCTCCAACTATCCCAAAAATGTACAGTTCCATCCCCAGAACCCTCAGTTAGAGTTAATATTCCCGATTCCCCTGATCATCAAAATGGCGCCGGGGAGAAGCAAAATGGTGGGTGCCAAATGTATTTTCCTGCCTCTTTTCCCCCTCTTCAAAACGGCATCGGGGGACACAAAATGGCGGGCGCCACATGGATTTTCCTGCCACTTATCCCCCTCTTCAAAATGGCACCGGGGGGAAACAAAATGGCGGGCGCCACGTGGCTTTTCCTGCCACTTATTCTTCTCCTCCCCAGAATCCCTTTCTCTCCTCCTCCAACCCCTTCCGGTCCTCCAGCCCTTCCCCAGGTGTTAACTCCTCCCTCTCCTTTGTTCCTCCTTCCTTCAATCCCTCCCTTAGTGTTGCCTTTGTAAAAGACAACGGGCGACCTGGTTCTAAGAGGCAGCACAGCAGCCCGGCCTAGTCCGGGCTACTCGGGCTATCGACAAAGACGCTTGCACCAATGTGGCGGACGATCGAAAGCCTTTATTATCTCATCTCATGGGTTTAAATAGTCTTGGGGGTCTTTGCTACGTCAGAGGGGGGTTGTGGGTTCTCAAGGGTTAGTCGGGAGTGGAAAACTACTGGGACAGGTGTGGTCACATGCTTTTGGGGTTAATAGATAACGTGGAGCAGGGAGAGGGAGGAAGGGTCTCTCTTTCCGTCACATCCCGAGATCTTCCGTTCGCCTGTCCCTACTACTACATCTCCCCTCCCCTTATCATATATAAAATGAGGTAGTCGTAGATATAGGCACTGGAGTGAGGTACAAACTTGTGACTTGTTAAGGAAAGGGTGGTTTGGTAAACTTGAGTAATTTTTTCAAGGCAGGTCTTGAAGGCTTTTGCGACTGACTGTGTACGCAGTTTTTGGTTTACAGCATTTGTTGCTGGCCTATGAACAAAATGTTTGCCCTTTCTAGACGGGCCTGAACAAACGAGACTAGTTTGTTCAGCAGGCATGGTCCTATGGTGATAGCTAAAAGCAGTATTGCCAGTGGACCTACCAGGGGGGAAATTAAAGTGGTGAGCCAAGGTGATTGATTGAACCAGGATTCAAACCAGCTCTCTTGGGTTTCCCTGTCTTTCTTTCTTTGAGCCAGTCTGTCTCGGAGTTCTGCCATGGAGTCTTTAACGACTCCCGTATGATCTGCATAAAAGCAGCATTCCTCTTTCAGGGCTGCACACAGTCCTCCTTGCTGCATGAACAAGAGGTCCAGTCCTCGCCTATTTTGTAAAACTACTTCTGAAAGCGAAGAGACTGATTTCTCTAGATAGGAGATGGATTTCTCGATCCTCTGCAGGTCTTCGTCGATGGTCATTTGCAGCTGAGAGAGTCCGTGCTGCTGGGTTGCGATGGCTGAGACACCTGTGGCTGTGCCAGCTGCTCCCAGGCCAAGCAACATCACGATGGTTATACTTGTGATAATTTCTCTTTTGTGGAGTCTGTTAGGTTCCTCGAGAAGATGGTATATCTCTTCGTCTGAGTGGTACAGGACCCTGGGGACAATCAGAACTTGGACACAGAAATCGATAGAGTCATTAAATTTGGCAAGGAACACACAAGGACTCACTCTGGATCGCTGGTAAACCTACATCCCAGATGTGGATGGGACTACCCACTTATTGGTTCCTCTGTTGGGCCTGACAACTTTAGTGCAGAAGTTGCCTTTCTGCTATGCTAAGGTTGCATTTCCAAAACATCTGCCCTGTCCTGTGATTTGACTCAGGGTGATTCCTCTGCGGGGAGTGTCCCATCTGCACTGGTGGGGGGCACTGGCTGCGGAGTAACTGAAGGGAGTGTCTAAAGCAATGCCTTCGTAGAAAGGGGGTTTAACATCATAGCAAAACTAATAGGGGTTAGTTAGGTTCGGTTTGGTTTCGTTTAGGGTTAGAAAGGTAGCTTCTAAACAGGTTGGCTATGTGGAACACAAAGGATGGGGTGTTCCCTGTGGTGACCTCTTTGAACACCTTGTCACTTGAAAGATGTTGCATGACCCACCTAAATGGCTGGTGAGGGTAGTGGCCTGGGTCGGCTTGTCCCCCGGCCACAAGCCCTAATAGCAGAATCGCACAAAGACACTGTGCATGTCTGGGTCTCACCGCCGTGGGATTTTCAGGCTTTGTCTGGCGGTTTGGTGGTCTGTTATCTCTCTCTGGAGCAGGGGTATATGCATCACGGGGACGGTCCACAAGCATGTCCTTCAAACAAAACTCACAGCTTTTCATTAGTTTTGTTCTGAAGGTCAGTTTTATTGGCAGCAGTGGGTGTACAGCAGTGGCCCTCATTATAAATTCGTAATCCTGACTCCTAACATAGCAAAGATGTCCTTTCCTATCAGGGGTGGAGAGTTTTGTAAAATTTAAGGGTGGACTGCTACTGTCCGTTCTGGCCCTTTCTTTGTATGCAGCGTTATAGCTACCAATTGGGTGCTTTTCCAAGCTCGGGACGGCCCTCCCACCCCGTTCACTGCGGGGGCGTCTTTGCATTGCCAGCGTCGGGGCCCCAGTGCTTGGGGAAACATCAGGCAGTCTGCTCTTGTGTCTGCCCAAAGCTGGAGCCCTATTACGTGGGGGTCCTGACTGCCATAAAGGCGGCATGTCCCCCACACCCTCGGGGGCTCCTTCCCTATTTTCATGGCCAGGGCCACCCAGGGGTCCCGTTCTGGGGCGTCCCCTGCTGACCCTGCGGTACAGGCGGTGCTTGCAGGGTGGTAGCGGGTACGAAGGTACCGCGGGCTGTGTTTGGAAACTCTGCAATTGTGTCGCTGGCGGGGGTATGAAGTATGAGGGCTCCCCGCCCCACTGGGGGTTGGCATAGATGGGCCGCCTCATATTTGCAGCGGGAGGAGGCTGGGTGCGGCCCGCAGGCCCCCTCCCTTTCCCGTTTCCCTGGGGCCGGGACCTGCATTCCCTAGCGAGATGCCCTTTCCTCCTGCAGCCCCAGCAGGATATTTTTCCCCAGCTGGTAAACTGGGCTGGTTCGTATTGTGACCGCTTTTCGGTGCGGCTTAGAGCTTTATTTGGTTTTGTCTTAAATCGCGTTGGCTCTGTTTTCTCCGTCTCGGAGTTCCGGCCGGCTCCCGTCGGCTCCTCCGAGCCGGCGGAGCTGCTGCCGGGCTCCGAGTCGGAAGTCGAATGCCAGCGCACTTCCGGGGCTCGGTGCCTTTTTGTTCGGCTCCGAGCTCGCTCCGCCCCGCGGGGGTGGCGCCGCTCCCGCCCTTCCGGCTTGCCGCGCCTCCTGCGGGGGGTAGTTTCTCCCTTATATGGTAGCGGCCTCAGGCGCGGCTGCCGATTGGCTCCGCGCTCTCTGCTGCTCTCCGCCTCTTTCTCCCGCACACGTGCGCCCCTGAAATCGCGTGCTTCTCGGGTTTTCGCACCGAGACCGGCCGCGCCCCGCCCCTCCCTGTGGCAGCCAGCGCCATTTTCAAAGGGCTGGGGTGGCCGCATGGTTAGCGTCTCCACCCGAGCCGCGGTTTCTGCAACTTTGGCTTCTCCTGCCAGCTCCTGCCAGAAGCACTTTGCGCGCCGTTGTACTTCCGGCATCGGGCCGCGGACCAGCGGCGGGACGGATGGGGAAGCTGCGGTTTTTCGGGGGGTTTCCGCGGCAGGGATTGGGCTCTGATCTGGGGAAGGGGGTGACGCGCCGGGCCCCCCCGGGTCTCCGTTCCCGGGCGGATCGTCTTCGGGGACGGTCTGCACTTCCGCCCCCACCCCGAGCCCGGGTCTAACTAATAAACACATACGCGCCGCACTCCGCATCTCCTGCTTTTCTATTGCTCTGCGCGGGGCTTTTTCTACTTTGCCCCATGCCTTAAGGCTCTTGCCACTGCCTGAGGATTTTGTTTCCTCGGCCAGCGTGGCTGTGCACTTTTCCCATATTCCCGGATGCATGGCATCCACTGGGCTTTCGGTTGCCCCAAGCTCAAGCAGCCTTGCTATGGCAAGATTAAAGTCCTTGAGCTTACACTCGATACCCCATTGCTTATAACTCACACTCACGACCCTGGCGACGCTGTCCATGACGCTCGCGGGTCCTGGGACGTCTCCCTGCGCCAAGATACGGTCTGACCACTCCGGCCGCTGCTCCTGTCCAGGCGTATCCCGTTACCCGAGCGAATCTTCCCGGGTTTCGGCACCAAATATGTTGCCTTTGTAAAAGACAACGGGCGACCTAGTTCTAAGAGGCAGCACGGCAGCCCGGCCTAGTCCGGGCTACTCAGGCTATCGACAAAGACGCTTGCACCAATGTGGCGGACGATCGAAAGCTTTTATTATCTCATCTCATGGGTTTAAATAGTCTTGGGGGTCTTTGCTACGTCAGAGGGGGGTTGTGGGGTCTCAAGGGTTAGTCGGGAGTGGAAAACTACTGGGACAGGTGTGGTCACATGCTTTTGGGGTTAATAGATAACGTGGAGCAGGGAGAGGGAGGAAGGGTCTCTCTTTCCGTCACATCCCGAGATCTTCCGTTCGCCTGTCCCTACTACTACACCTTAGCCACGCCCCGAATTCCCACGCCCTTAACCACTCCCCTTGCCACTCCCTCCAGGCAGAGCTCCCCTCTTCCAATGGTCCCACCCACCTCCCTGGCCCCTCCCATCCGGGGGGTTTCCGGTTCCCATGGTCCTCTTCCTGATTCCCACGATGGGGGGGCTGGGGGGGGAGGGGCCTGGGGACAGAAATGGCTCCCAAGTAATACCAATATCAACAACAATCCCTGATAATGGCCATGGAAATCCCACACCAACTTTACTGGCAGCACCTGTCACCTATATCCCACATGCTGAAGGTGGTGTCCATGCCCAGTGGACCCCACTGCCTTTTCAGGTTACTAAGGAATTATGTAGGGCACAGCAGGAGTTCACTCGGGAGAGCGAGTGTTTCCGGGGGATGCTCATGGCCACATTATCCACCGACCTCACCCCTGCGGATCTCTGCCAACTCTTCTCCTGCCTGCTGACTCCTACGGAGTTCCTGCAGTGGGAGACAGAGTGGCGGAAGGAGGTCCGGGGCTCCCTGTTCCATCTTTGGCAGAACCCGGCCACCACTAAGGATGTAGGGAGAGGGATGCTCTCAGTCGACCACCTCTGCGGTCAATCAGAGTGGGCCGACAGAGCACGGCAGGCCACTGAAATCCCCCGAGTGGCACTGCGAGAATCGGTGAGAGCTGCCAAAAAGTTATTTTTTAATTTGAAACCAAAGGGACAGATACTAAATTACCTGAAAATCATGCAGTGCCCCAGTGAACCTTTTATAGATTATGTTAAGAGGCTCCGCAGGTCAGTTGAGCTGCAAATTAAGGACGAGAAAGCGAGACAAGAGGTGCTGAGAGAGATCGCAGCGGTCAATGCCAACTCACAATGTAAAGCAGTGATACTGAGCCTCCCGATGGAGCCCAAGCCGACAATCCAGGACATGTTAGAAGTCTGCGAGAAAAAGGTAGACCTTGCAGCGGTAGAGGAGTCATCCACAGGGGGACCTGCGCCAAAACCAGGAACAACTAAATGAGCCTATGCTGCCGACGCCAGGATGCCTCCACCACATCCTCGTCTTGCACCGCCACCACGTAACCAATGACCATCAGCGGACCGATGCTATTTGTGTGGGACCCCAGGACATTGGGTGGGAAATTGCCCACTCAAGAACAAATTCCACCAATTTAAAAAGGAGCAGGACAGGGCCCAGGGACCTTCAAAAAACTAACTTACAAGCGCAGCCCCTCCCTGCGCTCAGACATAAATTCAGTGGGCCACGGAACATCTCAGGGAGGGGGCGTTGGACAGACGCCCAGATTGGACTGGCAAAATACCGGACTTGACACTTTTCCATCTAATACGATGTGCACTCATTATGAACAAATACACCACAGGCCCATCTTAACCACCTTGTCAAATTTTTCCCCTTTCAGGCTCCAGCTGACGGAACCCCTCCATCTTTGGGACACGGACCATCATTTTATTTCCATCACCCCAGAGGGTTCAGGTACCTGGAGTCAGCTGTGATGTAAGTACATCGTCGTTGGGGACACCAAGTTCACACCCCAGGATATCACGGTATTGCCCAGGTTAGTAACCTCAGACCCAGGGCGATTCATGCTTCTCCTGTATTGCGTTCGCCCGCCGGTGTTTCTCCCTAAGGGTCAAATAGTTGCCCAAGCCATCCCAGTCCCTGAGCCACCTTGGGACCAGGAGCAGGTGGCTGACCTTCGCCAAAAGCTTGTACCAGCTATTTACTGGGCACAGGCCCTTGGGGAGAACAAGCCCAAAATAATGTGTGGCCTTCTTCTTCGCGGGGAACGAAAAACAATGCAGGGGCTCCTGGACACAGGGGCAGATGTAACGATCATTGCCATTCAGGAATGGCCGTCACATTGGGAGCTGCAAAGCGTGGCTGGTCGCGTACAAGGTATAGGGGGAATTCAATTGGCAAAACAATCAAGGAACCTTGTACAAATTGAGGGGCCGGATGGGCAACTGGCCTTTATATGGCCATTCGTTTTGGACTTTACGGAACCCCTGTGGGGGAGAGACCTGATGGCTCAGTGGGGGGCAAAAATTGACATTCCAAAGCCCCCCCAGCTTTTTCGGGCAACGGTCACTGAGAAGCGCTCCACCCAGAAACTGAATTGGCTGACTGACAAACCAGTTTGTGTGGAACAGTGGCCGCTCAGCAAACAAAAATTAGAGGCGCTTGAGGGGCTCGTGAAGGAGCAACTTGCTAAAGGGAACATCGTGGAGACCACGTCCCCATGGAACTCCGCTGTGTTTGTAATAAAAAAAACCCAACAAAGACAAATGGCACCTCCTTCATGACCTCCGCAAAATAAATAAAGTAATTGAAGATATGGGTCTCTCCAGCCAGGGATGCCGTCCCCTACCATGCTCCCCTGAAATTGGAATCTGGCTGTAATTGACATTAAAGATTGCTTTTTTCAAATTCCATTACACCGTGACGACGCCCCACGGTTTGCCTTCTCGGTTCCAACCATCAACCGAGAAGCCCCAAGGAAAAGGTACCACTGGAGGGTTTTGACCCAGGGCATGAAAAAACAGCCCAGTTATTTGCCAGTGGTACGTCTCTTCCTTGCTGTCCCCCGTCCGTGTAGCTGTAGGAGATGCCATCATCCTGCACTACATGGACAATATTTTGGTGTGCGTCCCCATCGATGATCTGCTTGCCTATGCACTTGAACTGACAACAGATGCGTTGGTTGCTGCAGGGTTCGAGCTCCAGGCCGAGAAGATTCAAAGGATGCCATCTTGGAAATACTTGGGGCTGCAGATGACATTGAGGACCATTGTTCCTCAGAAATTGGAAATTCAAAATTCCGTCCGGACCTTAGCGGATCTCCAACAACTGTGTGGGTCTTTGAACTGGGTAAGACTGTGGCTAGGTATTTCTACTGAAGACCTAAATCCCCTCTTCAATTTATTGGAAGGGGGAGAGGGGCCTAGTTCCCCACGGACCCTTACCCCAGAGGTGAAGGAGGCGCTGGAAAAGGTACAGAAATACATGTCTGCCAGGCAAGTCCACCGCTACCAACTGGGCCTGCCCTTTAGTTTCATCATCTTAGGAAAACTGCCACACCTCCATGGGGTGATTTTTCAATGGCACCATAAGATCAAGCGAGAGGACCAGGGCGAGAGGGACCCTCTCTTAATCATAGAGTGGGTCTTCCTCAGCCATCATAGGTCCAAAAGGATGACATTGCCACAAGAACTGATGGCTAACCTGATTCAGAAAGCGTGACTGCGCATCAGGGAGTTGGCAGGGTGTGACTTTGACACCATTCATGTCCCCCTGACATTGACCACAGGCCAAATCACAAAAGCAATGTTAGAGCACCTACTCCAAGAAAACGAGTCCCTGCAGTTTGCATTGAACAGTTACACTGGCAAAATTTCAATTCATCGGCTGGCCCAGAAATTTTTCAATTTGGACGTCCAATTTTCATTATCGTTAAAAAGGGTCCAAAGCAGGTCACCTCTAAAAGCTCTGACAGTTTTCACTGATGCATCCGGAGCATCCCACAAGTCAGTCATGACTTGGAGGGATCCTCAAACTCAGTGGTGGGAGGCAGACATTGCCGAAGTGGAAGGATCACCTCAAGTAGCTGACTTGGCCACTGTTGTCAGGGCCTTTGAGAGGTTCCAGGAGCCCTTCAATTTGGTTACAGATTCAGCATATGTAGCCGGTGTGGTGTCCAGGGCAGAGAATGCCGTACTGCAGGAGGTGTCCAACATTGCCTTATACGAGTTGCTCTCAAGATTAGTAGATCTTGTCTCCCACTGTGAGCAACAGTTTTATGTAATGCATGTCAGGTTGCACACCGACCTGCTGGGGTTTATCGCTGAGGGCAATCAAAGAGCTGATGCCCTGGAGGCCCCAGTACACATGGTGCCACTCCCCGACAAATTCAAACAGGCCAAGGTCAGCCATCGCAAGTTCCATCAGAATGCGCCTGGCCTGGTCCGGCAATTCCAACTTACCCATGACCAGGCCAAGGCCATCGTGGCCACTTGCCCCCAGTGCCAAAATTATCAGATGCCTGCGCTTAGCGCCGGAGCTAACCCCCGAGGACTCAAAAGCTGCGAGGTGTGGCAGATGGATGTGACCAAGGTTCCTGAGTTTGGCAGACTGAAAGACGTACATGTCTCTGTAGATACCTATTCTGGTGCAGTCTACGCCTCTGCCCACTCAGGGAAGAAAGCAACAGATGTCATCAACCACCTTGTCCAAGCCTTTTCCGTGTTGGGGGTTCCTAAGGTTTTAAAAATGGGCAATGCCCCAGCATATGGCTCCAAGGAGCTCAGGAGCTTCCTGCAGCAATGGGGAGTGGAACACACGGCTGGCATCCCCCACTCCCCGACAGGTCAAGCCATAGTTGAGAGGACCCACCAGAGTCTGAAGAAAATTCTAACCCATCAACAAGTGATGATGAAGGTGGAATCCCCTCATGTCCAGCTGGCCCAGGCATTATTTACACACAACTTCTTGAACTGTGCATTTGAAAACCTAAACCCTACCATTACTAGACATTTCAAAAGTAACCCGCAGCTGGAGCTGAAAGAGAAGCCCCCGGTCCTAGTAAAAGATCCTGAGACCTGGCAAGTGCAAGGACCTTTCGAACTGATCACATGGGGGCGGGGGTACGCCTGTGTGGGCACCCCCTCTGGTCTAAGGTGGGTCCCTGCAAAATGGGTGCACCCATACATTCCTAAGCCAGTCCAAGCCAAACCTGTACAACAGGTGAAGGACGTCTGTTGGAGGAGAAGAAGGCGGACCTATTCTATTTGAGTTACAACTGTTAATCCTCTTTTAATCTTTATTTTTCAGCCTCAACTCGAGACCCAAAATACATGAACCCCACACATCTAGTCATCTTACTGTGCCTCGCCGTCCCCAGCTGCTCCTGGATCGTTCCCCAGCCAACAAAAAACGTATGGAAGAGGCTGGCGCAAGCCCTGGGAAAAGACCACATCTGTCTGTCCACCTCCTCTGCTGCCAACCCCTTCCTCTCCTGCCTTGTGGGGATCCCATATAAGCTGGATGAGTTTCCTTTTACGTTTCCCAAACCCACTACTTCTCCCGTCAGGAGAGCCCGCTCCTTCACCGTTCGCCAGCTGGATGCATGGAGGAATTGGGTCAAACTGTTTCCCCCCATGGATAAGGAACCCCAAGAGCTTGATTTACTAGGTTCCTCCCCTGCGTCCACCTGTGTTCACTTTGCTGTTACCCCCGATCCTCAGGCCCAGCCAAACATTGAAATCAAACAGTACATTCCAGAATATACCACAAAGGAATGGTGCTGGCAGGTCATCCAAATCCCCATGTTTTCCACCCCTGATAATAAACCTCACTCCCTACCCAAAGGCACCTTCCTAATTTGCGGCACCTGGGCCTGGGCTGGAATTTCCCCCCCACACCTTATCGGAGGCCCTTGTACTTTTGGCCAGTTGTGCCTGTTCACACTGTACCAAACCCAAATTTCCCATTCGAAGAAGCTAAACGAAACTTACCAATTGGCAATGTTTAAAAGAGATACTGAACTCACCAATCTGGATAAAAATTGCAATTCTGAAATTATTCATTGGTCTAAACCAAAAGGTGTTGCTACCATTACTTTTTTATCTTGGGTGGCAATAGCCCATGCCTTCAGGGAATTGGCTGACCTGGAGTGCTGGGTGGCGAAGCAGGCAAATGTTACATCAACTGTGCTTGCTGGCCTCCTATCAGATGAGGAAGTAACAAGGCAGGCAACCCTACAGAATCGGGCAGCAATTGTCTTTCTTCTTTTACTTCACGATCATTCATGCGAGGAGTTCGAGGGCTTGTGCTGCATGAATTTAACATCCAAGGCTGGGGATGTCCACAAAGCCATTGATTCAATGAGGAGCATGATTAAGGACATAAAAAAAAAACCTGGGGACTGGCTGAGTGACCTTTTTGGAAATTGGGGTGTCTCAGGTTGGGCAACTTCCATCATTCGTTCTGGTTTGTTAATTTTGTTTGTTCTTATCCTATCACTTATTATTTTTGGAATTCTGAGATGAATGGTGTCCAGCCTCATCAACAAAGCATTGGCCATCCACACTGCGAACCCAGCTGCCTTCCTGTCTGCCCTGGAGTCCACCTCCAAGCCTGAGACAGAAAACGGACACTGGACAGAGATGGCACCCACCTACCAGCCGGGGTTCGCTGACACCTACCCGGACTCGGAATTCCTCCCCTGGACTGAATCCAATTCATTTTGAAAGACCTTTTCATCAGATTTTTGGTTTTTGTTTAAAATTTTAAAAAGGGGCAGTTTTTGGAGTGTGTTTTAAGTTTCCCCCCAGCTATGGTTGCTCCCTGTGCCCCTCTTTTTGTAAAATGGTCCAGCCTTCCTTCTCCCTCCTCCGTCTGCCTGTCATTCCTCCCTCCACCCAGTTCATTGTATTCCTGCTGAGTTATCCCCCCCCCCCCAGCCACACCCCAGAGCCTGCCTGTCTCTCAGAGACCTCTCTCTTCCACCTAGAAAGTTCCATCCAGGGCTTCAAGTGATAGGCTGGTCTCCGGGGTCCCCTCCCTCCCTCCTACCTCATTGGAAGTTTCCCCTGCGTGTCAGCCCTGTTACCACCCCTAGGTGTTATCCCATTGGTTGGCTGCTGTTTCCTCCCCTTGCTACCACCCCCCTTTAAGAAGCAGGGCACACAGGCACATGGTGCCCATCGCTTTTTGGAGCTTATCTTCTTCGAGCCAATAAACTCAGATACCCCCTGAAGGACGGCTCGTTGCTTTTGTCAGAGTCACTCTGCATGTCTTTCAGTCTGGTGGCTTTGACTTCCCACAGGCTATACCTCGTGCCCACAGCGGCACATGAGAGTGGCCTTTGCTGCCGCAGTGCTACAGGTTCTGACCTAGCCAAGACTTAGTCACCTAGCAACAGCCTTAGTGGCTCCGTGGTAGAATTCTCACCTGCTACAGTGGCAGCCTGGGTTCAAATCCTGGCAAAGCCACTAGTGCTAGCGGGACTTGGGAAGGCACAGTGACAAAGTACAGAATTAAATAACTGTAGAATTAAAATCAGTCCAGATTAGATGAAGCTTTTAGCAATCTGATTTAGTGGATGGTGTCCCTGCCCATGGCAGGGGGACTGGAATGGATGATCTTTAAAGTCCTTTCCAACCCAGACTGCTCTATGATTCTATGACCTAAAGTCAGTTTGCAAACATTTCCATATCTCCTGCTCATCATTTAACAACAGAAATCAGCTGAATAATCAGATAAAACTCAATTAGGTCTGCGGGGAAAGCTGTGCTCCAGGACGGTTTGGATGAATGGAGATGAGAGATCTCTGAAGGCTGCTCTTAGAATATAAGGTTTATTATGGATGGTGAAAGGCCTTGCTTGGAGCTGCCAGACGCAGCACGTGGCAAGGCCTGAGGGAATGGGGGAGGGGAGAGACAAGGGGTAGAGAGGATGCTCCAGGAGAGGGTGGAAGTTCCAAGGGGGTGGGGGTTCCAAGAGAGGGGAAGTTGCAAGAGAGCGTCTGGCTCCTCGGAGACCCCTTATCAGGGGCTTCAAGGTGGGCTGGAACAAGACTTAGGCCAATGGGGTCACAGACACCTGATGTTTCAGGGGAGGGTTACAGGTGTGGGATGAACCATACATTTTGGGGGTTGAGATAGAACAGTCCATTTGACTTTTTGACCTATCTGTAGGTAAGGGCATTGTCCAACAAGTAGGGGGGATTGTTTTCATCCTGGCTGTAAATCTTTTGCCAGGCAATTATATTTATCAATCCTCCCCCACATAGGCCTTTTTGATATAAGGCAGTTTGAATATAGTCCTCTTATTAAATAATGAAATGTTATTGTCAAAGTTATGACCTCATTAAATAGTCTAACAGAATTGGAGTTTAGGGGTAATTAAATCTCTCAGTGCCTTCTTTAATAATTTATTCTGGAAACATGAGGAAAATGGTTTTTTTGGTCTTTGCAAGAAAAGAGCGAAAAGCTGAGGAAAGATTAATACCTATATTCATAATGGTCTGCATTAACTGTAATATTTTCCATATAAAATGGAGTGAATGTTACAATTTATATCTGCTAAGATATCTTGTGTTGGGAGGGGGTCCTGGGGACAGTCCACCTGGGATGCCCTGGGAGACCACTTCTGTGTAATTTCCTGCCTCCCCCGATGCCAATCATTTTTTATCCCTGTTCATGTCCATCATCGTTTGAGCTATCCCTTTGTTCTAGAATGTTCCTTATTCTTTGTGCTTTATTGGTTCCCTCTTGTTAGCCACCCCTTCCCCTTGTCCCCATCAGTTCTCACCCTGTCGGTCATTCCCTACACCTCCCCTGTACCTGTCCATTATTAGCTGATATGTACCCTGATCCTCCGACCCCGTTGCTGTTATATGCCTTACCCCACCCTCGGGACAGCGTGCTCAGAGCCTGCTCCCTTCCTGAGTGGTTGTTTCCCCACACCTCTGACTTCTCTTCCCCTCAATAAAACCCTCTGGAAACTACAGCAGCCTGAGTGTCATCCTGCCTCAGTGGAAGCCTCACTATCACTATCCAGCACCCTCTGTGGCATTCCCAGTGGGACCCAGGTCCCGGATGCCACACCTGAGGGCAGGAAAACAACCTTTGTACAAATACTGAAACAAACTAGTTGGAAAAATAATTTTCCTCACTCTTTTCTGTCTGTTCTAACAGGCACAAGAGGAAAACCAGTGCTATCAGTCTGTATTGCCCTTGCACTCATGGATGGCAAAGTTGTAGTGGCTAGTATTTTATTTGCACACATTTATTTTGTGCAGAAGGATCTGTAACCTATTTTCACAGGAGGACATGCCTGAATTGCCTCACTTGTCTCTGAACCAGATAACTAAGCTGGCCCTCATTTTCTGAGATCTTGCTGGGATAGCCCCCAAACTCATTTCCTTAAAATGGATTTTACTTTCAACCAAAGCACTTTGTTACTTCATGATGTAATCTGTTGTTCTTAATGTTCAGTTTTATAACCATAAAAACATATTCTGGTAAGCAGGTAGAACATCTGCCTTAAGTAGTAGACATCACTTGGGTTTGGTTCATGGATCATAACATCTGCAAGGAATGTCATTTACAATCAATAGGTGGGCTGGGGTAACTGGCCACAGGTTTAGGAATCTTTCTCCAATTCATTTGGCTTTAAAATGTAGCTCTTCTCATGTCAAATGTGTCTTTGTTAAAGCAATCAACTATTTATGACCTGTACCACAATGAAGAACAATAAACAGTGGCTGAGCATCACACAAGTCTAATAAGAAGAATAGTCTGAGCCCCCAGTGTAACACAGGGGGTGCGTAATGAAGCCTGAGTCCTCCAGGCATCTTCTCAACCTGGAGAAGAGCAGACTCTGGGGAAACGTTATAGCAGCCCTCCAGTATCTGAAGGCAGCTTAGCAGAAGGAGGGAGATGAGCTATACAAGGACACGTGGTGATAGGATGAGTGTTGATGGATTTAAAACCTGAAGAGTATACGTTTGATTTGGCTGTTGGGAAGAAATTCCTTGCCATGAGGCTTGTGAGACATTGGAAGATGTTGTGGGTGACCCATTCCTGGAAGTGTTCAAGGCCAGCTTGAATGGCTCTTTGAACTTAACCCAGTCTAGTGGAAGGTGTCCCTGCCAATGACATGGGGGTGAATTTTGGTGAACATTAAGTTCCCTTCTGTCATGGTTTGACGCTGGCACAATGCCAGCGCCCCATGAAAATACAACCTACCAATCAAATGCTGTGAAATGTGATCAAGAACAGAGCAAAGCAGGCCAAACTTAATAACAAAGGAAAAACTTTATTACACTACTACTATAAAAGGAAAAGAAAGGAAAGAAAAAAAAACCACACAAAATTCGAAATGAAAACCTTCCAAAACATTCCTCCTCCCTCCACCCAACTCCACCAAACCACAGCGAGACCCATTTGGATCCTTAATCAAGTTTTCACCCTTCAATATAATCAATACTGAGTCCATCGGGAAGAGAGGAGTCCCCCTTGCACCACAGACCCCCAGGAAACACAACTGCCACCTCTTGTGTTTCCAATGTCACACGTGGCACCGCCCAGACACACCGGCCAGTGTGACATTCTCCTCTCCATGTCACAGTGCTCTCACCACCGTGCATGGACAGAGACCGCTTATAGGGCCCCTTTAAGGATGCTTTGCCAAGGACCACCAGGAACAACAGTCCAGTATCACAATTCGGGACTAGAGTCCCCCCCATTTTCCCCTGGGGCCGAGGGTCCAAGGACAGAGATCTCCTTCTCTTCTTCTCTGAAGAGGGAGGGCATCCTCACACATTCCTCAGCTCTCTCTGTCCATTCCAAAACTGGTAGTTGCTGAAGAAGGTCTCTTGGCTCACCAGTGCATCCCCCTAAAATGCAGTCCCCTCTTGAAAGAAAGAGTGGTTCAGTCTATGGTAAACAAGCAGAGTCCAGCCAGTGGCTTTGCCACTCCATCATCTCCCCCCAACCTTCTTCTCTGAACATCTGAGGTCCCAGGCTGTCTCTCTTTCCTTCAAATTGAGGAGGAGTAATATTTCATAAAGCCTTCATTTCACAGGAAAGGGTTAAAATTCCCGGACTCCCCGGATGGCTGAAATCTCAGCCCAGGACTCCGTCTCCAGTCTCCCACGCTGGGCATCTTCCCCCCGCTTCTCCTTCTCCTCCGCCGGCAAACTCCTAGGTGTCTGCTGGCTCTCTATCTCTTTTCCCTCTAGCTTAGGGGAGGGGGAACAAAAACATCCCAGATGTTCTCCACCCTTCCATCCGCAGAAGCTGGCCCAGCTCGGTTCCAATCCTTCATCCCCTGGCCTACCTCTGCAGGCCGCATGGCTCCCCTCCCCCACCCAGCCTGGGCTGGGCAGGGGAGGTCCGTACCTTGCGATGACCGGAACCAAAAAAGGAAGAGTCCTCCTGGGAATTCTGCTTTTAACCCCTCTGTGTTCTCAGAGGCGTGTCCACCTTCAATTGGTCACCCCAAGTGTCAGTATCCAAACCTGACCCCTGACTGGATGGACCTCATCCTTCAAAAAAAAAATTCTCTTCCCGTGTCAAACCATGACAGTTACAGCCGAGTTTAGAAACCTAATATGAGCTTTTGCATAAACCAGTTTCCCTTTTGAATTTGTAGTTTTATTTCTCAGAGTGGTGGGGAAAGAAGGGATATCTGGAGATCATCTAGTCCAACACCCCTGCCAAATTCCATCTTACTTTTCAGAGAGTTGAGTCTCTGTAAGCCAACCTGAATGACCTTGACGTGTAATCTGTGAAAGCCTGACAGACCTCTGTTCACAGTTCAGCACATCATTGCAGCTTTCAGTGGAAAAATTGTTACATATGAAAATATACAGAATTCCAAGAAAAATCCCCTCCCAGGCAAAAAAGTGCAGTTGGGATAGTTTGGACTGCTCACTGGTCTAAGACTTTTCTAGTGGTAGTCCTTCTGTTTTCTAGACTTTTCAGTTTGAAAACCATAGAGGTAACATCAGAAAAGGAGCAATACTACCAGAAAAAGAACAGTTCCACACGTGTGCACCTATCTTAGCTTAGTTTTAGTTGCAAATGATGCAAATTGTTCCATTCTAATGATAGTTCCAGAATTTGGTGGCAAGGGTAGCTTTTCTTTTGCAAAATGATCACAGATTCAGCAATAGAAACTGTTACTTGCTGCCATACCATCCCTAAGCCAGCCTCTTCCCATATGGCAACATATTGTACTTTGTCAGTAAATAAAGGACTGTTAACAGTTGCAAAGCATCTAAAATTAGAAACAGTAGAACTGTCCAGGAGTTGTTCTCTTGCTTTACTCTTACTAATAACAGTTTTCTCTTCCCTTTTCTCACCTCACAGGTATTACCATGGTCCAACTCCAATTCAATCACAGCAATATGCAACCAGTCAGGATATAATTAATTCATTTCATAGTATTAGACAAGAAATGGAAGCATATGTACCCAAACTAACTCAGGTACGGAAGTATATTTTAAAAGTGCCCCTCTTGATCTTAGCATCTTGCTTTCTATACAGTTTTGTGTTCCTGTCTACTGAAGTTTCAAATTTTCACGGTAAACTTAAATTATCTCCAATTTCTGTTAACTGAATTATTTTGCAGGTTTAGGTGATACCTTTTGAGCTGTTGTGTTTAAAATCTACACTAGAGGAAGCTGAGTCATTGCTGATGCTCATTTATATTCTTCTGTTCCTGCTTTCTTTTGAGAAAATGGTAAAGGTATAAGGTAATAAAGCAGGACAGTCATGCACGGGCCAGTGTATTCATCCCACCTTGAGAAGTAAAGGAGGTTACAGTGAGCAGGTTTATAATTGAATTGGTCTTTTGTTTCTAAATGCACTTAGGCTGTCAGTGTGCTGTGGGCAGCAGAAAAGTTCTGTGCTGGCACCTGGAGGGCAGCAGAGCCCTGTGGCAAATCTCCCCAGGCAGCATCTGAACTCTACCTGTTTCTAAATCTAGTTTGGCCCTAAGTAAAGCCACAATTCTGCTACACTTCTGCATAGTAACACTCTGTCTTATTTCTGAGTAAGTGCACAGCCTGTTCAAGGTCTAGGCAGAGAAAAAGTTATAATTAATTGGAGCACTTTCACAGCAAATGAGCTATAACACATCATTTTGAAAAAGAGCAGAACCTGAACTTCCATGTATGTGTTCAACTAATCTTATTTTTAAAATAATTTATTAGAAAAAGTGACCTGAAATACTTGTTCCCTTTCTCTCCAGGTTCTTTCAAGTGGTGATGCTGCCAGCACTATTGCAGTCCTGTCACCTGGAGGAGCACTTATGCAGGGTGGAACACAGCAAGCCATAAACCGTAAGGATTTGGGATGTCTAATGCTTTAGTTGTGTCCTGGTGCATTGCACAGCACTAGCTGGCTTGCTGTTTCATCTCTTGTCTTAAATATGTTACAGTGATAAAGGAAAGTATGGAAATGTGTAGCTGGAGTGGTACTGGGTTACAGTAACAAAAGAAAAGCACCAGCCACACCGTGGGGGTGGTAATGGCTACACCATGGCTGAGGCAAGTGAACAAGAGAACATTTTACACAGCAAGTAACGAAGGAAACACCTGATAGATACCAAATTGTCTTACAGATGTGGGGTTTTACTTGTTCAGTATTTTTTCCCCCTGGATTGTAGAATATAACATACTCTGTGAAGACTCTTAAGGAAGCAAAGCCTAGATAATCATATGAAAATAAGTTTTTTGCAGCCTGCATTTAAGATTCACAGTTTACTGTGGAAAAAAAAAAGGCAACTTCCTTGTGGACTGCAAGGGCAAATCAGGCAGTCTCTCCTTCTCACACCTCCATTCAACCACCCCTTTCCCTATTCTCACATTGCTGCCAGTTTGAGTTCCTGTCTCTTTAGTCTCACAGCACATGAGTCCCTGTTCTCAGGATTTATTACAGTTCTCCAGTTTGTCTTGCGTTACTTGGTCTGAAAAGAAGCAGAAAGTAACTCAGACAGCTGAAAAAGCAAGTATGAGTTCTTTATGGTACTGAAATAAAAGAAATCAGCAAGCAGTGGTGAGGCTTTCTTACCCATCCTGATTAACATATTGAGTGCTACACTTCACTTCTTTGAGCCTGACCACCACTTCTTTCTTTTAAGAGCCTCATCCTAAAATTTGATATTCACTGTTCACTTCACTGTGCTCATCCTCAGTGATTACTTGTACTTTTTATTTGGGGTTTTACAGGTGTGTCTCTTTCCTTGTTCTTGAACCCTGTCACCCTTTCTTCTTTAAGAATGCCTGGGACACAGTTTTTTTTTCCTTGTCTGGATTTTTCATCTTCCACATGCTGTAATTATGTTGCCAACATATGATAGAGGGAAAAACTTGAAGTACCCACCACAGAGTTCATAGCACTGTGCTGTTAGTACAACCCAGCAGCAGCACTGCCACACTGTAAAACAATACTAAATACTGCTTCTAATCCTGGGTTATGTTTGGTGTCCATTCTTTGCCTGGCATGGATCTTCCTAAGTAATACACCAGCTTCCAAATGTAGAGCTGTAAATAGCAGCTGACCTGATCTAACAGCTGCTCATAGTCTTGATCTAATTGCTGTGAGGCATCTCAGTGTTCTCCCCCAGCCAGTCATTCTGTGACTGTAGTGGGTGTACATCACTGAGCTCCTTCCTTAGCCTTAGTTCTTGTTTGAGTGATGTGAAAAAACCCTTTTTCCTGTTGCAGAGATGGTGCCAAATGATATTCAGTCTGAACTAAAACATTTGTATGTGGCAGTAGGAGAACTGCTACGACACTTCTGGTCCTGCTTCCCTGTTAACACACCATTCCTAGAAGAAAAAGTAAGGCAGAGCTTCCTCTTATGGCCCCTGGTTATGATGTGGTTTAGAATGACCATGGTTTAGAATGGCTGTCATTACTGAAGTATGGAGCTAATGCACATGCCTCAAATCAGTACAGCACTTACTTATCCTAAAACTAAAGGTCACAAAATAACATGAAACCTTATTTTTCTCACGAGTTCTGCTGGTACTATTAATTAAAATCATACATGTTCCTTGCCTGCCTTTAGCTCCCTTTAGGAGCAGTAGCTGTTAACCAGTTTCAAACAGAACGGGCAGCTCAGTTGCAGCTGCAGGGTTCTCATTCCAGTTTAAAACACAAAAACTAAAGCCTCCCTTCCCCAGCTGCGAGAAATAACTTCCACAGTGATAGTACAAGCAAGTTTCCCTTATTCTAGCCATCGCAAAAATCAATGTCATACCTTCAGAACATACACTGCTTTTGAGAACTAAGTTGCCTTCAAGGACAGATGTTTGTCTATAGCCAGTAACTATTTTTCTGTTGCTTTTGACCTCACAGGAGTAGTAAAGATTAAAATTTGCATTCAGATGTATTTGCATGTCTGCTGCAAAATGTGGCCTGAAAATCCAGTCTTCGATTGACACAAGTATGAGGTGGGGGCAGCCCCTGTCTGGGACTTATCCATCGATATTCCTTTTTTTTGCAGTCAGCTCCCCGCTAGGGCAACAGGGCTAGGAGAGCAAACATCGGCTGTTTTCCCTGGGAAAGAAAACTCACCAGTCCAGGTTCCTGATGTCACTTTGTGGGGCTCCCCTGGGACTGTCAGGGCAGCACAAGTATGAGGTGGGGGCAACTCCTGTCTGGGACTTATCCTTCGACATTCGGATTTTTTGCACTCAGCTGACAGCTCAGGGCCATAGGACCATGTGCACAAACATCGACTCTTTTCCCTGGGAAAGAAAACTCACCAGCCCAGGTTCCTGATGTCATTTTGTAGGGCTCCCCTGGGACTGTCAGGGTAGCACAAGCGTGAAGTGGGGGTGGCTCCAATGTGGGACTTATCCGTCAATGTTCGGATTTTTTGTAGTCAGCTGCCCGCTTAGGGCCACAGGACTCGGAGAGCAAACATCGGCTCTTTTCCCTGGGAAAGAAAACTCACAAGTCCAGGTTCCTGATGTCAGTTTGTAGGGCTCCCCTGGGACTGTCAGGCCAGCACAAGTATGAGGTGGGGCCAACTCGTGTCTGACACTTACCTTCGATGTTCGGATTTTTTGCCGTCAGCTGTCTTCTCAGGCCCACAGGGCTCGGAGAGCACACATCGGCTCTTTTCCCTGGGAAAGAAAACTCACCAGTCCAGGTTCCTGATGTCAGTTTGTAGGGCTCCTCTGGGACTGTCAGGGCAGCACAGGTAGGAGGTGGGGGCAGCTCCTGTCTGGGACTTATCCTTCGATGTTCTGATTTTTTGCAGTCAGCTGCCCGCTTAGGGCCACAGGACTCGGAGAGCAAACATCGGCTCTTTTCCCTGGGAAAGAAAACTCACCAGTCCAGGTTCCTGATGTCAGCTTGTAGGGCTCCCCTGGGACTGTCAGGGCAGCACAAGTATGAGGTGGGGGCAACTCCTGTCTGGGACTTATCCTTCGATGTTCGGATTTTTTGAACTCAGCTGACAGCTCAGGGCCATAGGACCCTGTGCACAAACATCGGCTCTTTTCCCTGGGAAAGAAAACTCACCAGTCCAGGTTCCTGACGTCAGTTTATAGGGCTCCCTTGGAACTGTCAGGGCAGCACAAGTATGAGGTGGGGGCAGCTCCTTTCTGGGACTTATCCTTCGATGTTCGGATTTTTTGCGGTCAGCTGCCTGCTCAGGGCCCTAGGACTGCATCATTGCCAAAAGCTTTTCCAGCGTGTCTCGCAGGGAGAAAGCTTGCCAGCACAGTGCAGGTAACCCGCTCTTGCCCAGAAACATGGATTTGCTGAAGACTCCAAAAACACGACTCTTTCCTAGGCAAGCTTCAAACTGCTGTCAGACGTCCGTGTTCCCTGTTTTCCGCTGCCCTGCTCGTTGCAGGAGAGTGCACAGTCCATCCTGCCATTCAGTGCACAATGAAGGCAATTGCAAAAAACCAGCAGCTGCTCACTCCCAAACACAAGGCGCTGTCTATGTCCTTGCTTCCCGAGCAACTCAGCGCAGCCCTTCTTTTCTGCTGCGGCCATCGTGTTCTCTGCATCTCGCAAGCTCAGGGCACGAACCAGAATTCTCCAGATTTGTCTCTCAAAGACCAAGTCAAAACGCAGGCAAGTCGTCCTGGAACACCTGCCAGAAGCATGCCAGCGGTGACTTGAAATGGCAGGCAGCTGCAGCCACAGTCCTCTAGCAGTGCCAAGGCTGCGCACACACGCCGCCTTCGTTCTTCGCCTCTCAGAAGCCAACCGCTCTCCCCGGCTGCCGGAGGCCAAGAAGCGGCTACTAGGTGCACCGCTGACGTGAACCGCACTTGTAGGCTGCAAAGCGCGGCTTCGGCAGAAAGACGCCGGCAACCGGTGCTTCCCTGCGGACAGCTGCGGAGAGCCGGAGTCTGCGTCTCTAGTGGAGTGCATCATCGCGGAAAGCTTCTCCAGCGTGTCTCGCAGGGAGAAAGCTTGCCAGCACAGTGCACGCATCCCGCTCCTGCCCAGAAACATGGATTTGCTGAACACTCCAAAAACACGACTCTTTCCTAGGCAAGCTTGAAACTGCTGACAGACGTCGGTGCTCTCTGTTTTCTGCTGCCCTGCTCGTTGCAGGAGAGTGCACAGTCCACCCTGGCATTCAGTGGACAGCGATGTCAACTGCAAAAAACCAGCAGCTGCTCACTCCCAAACACAAGGCGCTGTCTATGTCCTTGCTTCCCGAGCAACTCAGCGCAGCCCTTCTTTTCTGCTGCGGCCATCGTGTTCTCTGCATCTCGCAAGCTCAGGGCACGAACCAGAATTCTCCAGATTTGTCTGTCAAAGACCAAGTCAAAACGCATGAAAGTCGTCCTGGAACACCTGCCAGAAGCATGCCAGCGGTGAATTGAAAGGGCAGGCAGCTGCAGCCACCGTCCTCTAGCAGTGCCAAGGCTGCGCACCTAAGCCGGCTTCGTTCTTCGCCTCTCAGAAGCCAACCGCTCTCCCCGGCTGCCGGAGGCGAAGAAGCGGCTACTACGTGCACCGCTCTCGTGAACCGCCCTTGTAGGCTGCAAAGCGCGGCTTCGGCAGAAAGACGCCGGCAACCGCCGCTTCCCTGCGGACAGCTGCGGATAGCCGGAGTCTGCGTCTGCAGTGGACTGCATCATCGCCAAAAGCTTTTCCAGCGTGTCTCGCAGGGAGAAAGCTTGCCAGCACAATGCACGCATCCCGCTCTTGCCCAGAAACATGGATTTGCTGAACACTCCGAAAACACGACTCTTTCCTAGGCAAGCTTCAAACTGCTGTCAGACGTCCGTGTTCCCTGTTTTCCGCTGCCCTGCTCGTTGCAGGAGAGTGCACAGTCCACCCTGGCATTCAGTGCACAATGAAGGCAATTGCAAAAAACCAGCAGCTGCTCACTCCCAAACACAAGGCGCTGTCTATGTCCTTACTTCCGGAGCAACTCAGCGCAGCCCTTCTTTTCTGCAGCTGCCATCGAGTTCTCTGCATCTCGCAAGCTCGGGCACGAACCGGAATTCTCCAGGACGTCTGTATCAGGACCAAGTCAAAACGCAGGAAAGTCGTCCTGAAACACCAGCCAGAAGCATGTCAGCGGTGAATTGAAAGCGCAGGCAGCTGCAGCCTCCGTCCGCTAGCAGTGCCAAGGCTGCGCACCTAAGCCGGCTTCGTTCTTCGCCTCTCAGAAGCCAACCGCTCTCCCCGGCTGCCGGAGTCGAAAAAGCGGCCACTATGTGCTTAAACATCGGTTCTTTTACCAGGGAAAGAAAACTCACCAGTCCAGGTTCCTGATGTCAGTTATTACGGCTCCCCTGGGACTGTCAGGCCAGCACAAGTATGAGGTGGAGCCAACTCGTGTCTGACACTTACCTTCGATGTTCGGATTTTTTGCCGTCAGCTGTCTTCTCAGGCCCACAGGGCTCGGAGAGCACACATCGGCTCTTTTCCCTGGGAAAGAAAACTCACCAGTCCAGGTTCCTGATGTCAGTTTATAGGGCTCCTCTGGGACTGTCAGGGCAGCACAGGTAGGAGGTGGGGACAGCTCCTGTCTGGGACTTATCCTTCGATGTTCCGATTTTTTGCAGTCAGCTGCCCGCTTAGGGCCACAGGACTCGGGGAGCAAACATCGGCTCTTTTCCCTGGGAAAGAAAACTCACCAGTCCAGGTTCCTGATGTCAGTTTTTAGGGCTCCCCTGGGACTGTCAGGGCAGCACAAGTATGAGGTGGGGGCAACTCCTGTCTGGGACTTATCCTTCGATGTTCTGATTTTTTGAACTCAGCTGACAGCTCAGGACCATAGGACCCTGTGCACAAACATCGGCTCTTTTCCCTGGGAAAGAAAACGCACCAGTCCAGGTTCCTGATGTCAGTTTATAGGGCTCCCTTGGGACTGTCAGGGCAGCACAAGTATGAGGTGGGGGCAGCTCCTTTCTGGGACTTATCCTTCGATGTTCGGATATTTTGCGGTCAGCTGCCTGCTCAGGGCCCTAGGACTGCATCATTGCCAAAAGCTTTTCCAGCGTGTCTCGCAGGGAGAAAGCTTGCCAGCACAGTGCACGCATCCCGCCCTTGCCCAGAAACATGGATTTGCTGAACACTCCGAAAACACTACTCTTTTCTAGGCAAGCTTGAAACTGCTGACAGACGTCGGTGCTCTCTGTTTTCTGCTGCCCTGCTCGTTGCAGGATAGTGCACAGTCCATCTTGCCATTCAGTGCAGAGTAAAGGCAATTGCAAAAACCCAGCAGCTGCTCACTCCCAAACACAAGGCGCTGTCTATGTCCTTGCTCCCGAGCAACTCAGCGCAGCCCTTCTTTTCTGCTGCGGCCATCGTGTTCTCTGCATCTCGCAAGCTCAGGGCACGAACAAGTATTCTCCAGATTTGTCTCTTAAAGACCAAGTCAAAACGCATGAAAGTCGTCCTGGAACACCTGCCAGAAGCATGCCAGCGGTGAATTGAAAGGGCAGGCAGCTGCAGCCACCGTCCTCTAGCAGTGCCAAGGCTGCGCACCTAAGCCGGCTTCGTTCTTCGGCTCTCAGAAGCCAACCGCTCTCCCCGGCTGCCGGAGGCGAAGAAGCGGCTACTACGTGCACCGCTCTCGTGAACCGCCCTTGTAGGCTGCAAAGCGCGGCTTCGGCAGAAAGACGCCGGCAACGGCCGCTTCCCTGCGGACAGCTGCGGAGAGCCGGAGTCCGCGTCTGCAGTGGACTGCATCATTGCCAAAAGCTTTTCAAGCGTGTCTCGCAGGGAGAAAGCTTGCCAGCACAGTGCAGGTAACCCGCTCTTGCCCAGAAACATGGATTTGCTGAAGACTCCAAAAACACTACTCTTTTCTAGGCAAGCTTGAAACTGCTGACAGACGTCGGTGCTCTCTGTTTTCTGCTGCCCTGCTCGTTGCAGGAGAGTGCACAGTCCACCCTGGCATTCAGTGCACAATGAAGGCAATTGCAAAAAACCAGCAGCTGCTCACTCCC